CTTCAGTAGGAAAGGGATTTCCTCTGCTTAAAACCATTTTTTTAAACATTGCTGGTTCTTCTTAAAAATAGYATCTGATAAAGAGAGGTCAGGAACTGCTGCTGTTTTTTTTTCTCAGCTGCTACAGATGTCTTTGGCCCCCATTTTTTCTGTGAAAGGTGGGGTCAGACAACCTTCCCTGCCATATTTGTGCTCTGGCCCATAGAGGAGTGGGAGGAAGAAGGCAAAGTGGGCAAACTGTCAAAGCAGAAGAAAGGGTGGGGAAGCCCCTTGCAGAGTGTGGTGCTGGAAAACCCTTCAYCTTCTTTTGGCCTTGCTGAGGCTTTTGGATGTCCCTGTGGGCCCAGAGTGACCCTGGACCAGGGCTGTGGRCCAGGGCACCACTGCTCCCACTGCTGCTCTGTGCCTGGACTGGAACCCCCAGGGGCTGGGGATGGAGTCCTTGGGAGGATCTGGCCATGGAATGATGGATCTGCCACCTCTTCAGAGGCCAGGAGGAGGTCAGAGCCACCACACCAAAGGTCTGGGGAAGGAGATGCCCTGGGCTTTGTGGAGCTGTTGGAAGGAGTTTTTCATGGTGCCAGCAGCTTTCTGCTGCCTCAGCTGCATCAGGAGCGGCCTGTGTGGGATGTGAGCTCTGATGGAGTGTGGCAGCTCTGGAGAGCCCTGGATGTCCTGGCCTCATGGACCTCTTGGATGGACCTTCAAGGAGAAGGCAAGAGAGATGAGCCCAGAGGAAAAGAGAAGATTGGGGTTTGAGGGGCTCATCTCCATCTGAAGGAGCTGCAGAAGAGGAGCAGGGGCTCTTGGGCAGGGCATTCAGTCACTGCCTCCCTGCAGCCCCAGGGTTTCCTTCCTGCTCATCCCCATCTCTCACAGACACCTTGGGAGCTCTTCGAAATCCCCCTTTCCTGGTGGGATTGGCAGGAATACCTCGATCCAGTACCCTGTGGTCCTTCCTAGGGGGTGGACACAGGAGGATTGGGAATGAGCAGCTGTTGGGTGCAGAACCTGCTTCTCGTGGTTTGAGCAGCTCCAGCCGGGGAATATCTGACTGGTGCTGGTGGGAGGGCTGGGCCACAGCGGGAGAAAGCTGCAGTGGAGCTGGGTTTCCCTGGGACAGCGTGGTGGCTCAGCTGAACACGCTGTGAGGATGCTGTCCCCACCAGGAGAGGTGTTCCCTGTCCCCTGGGGCTGCCAGGGGCCCTGGGGCGAGCTGGGCTATGCAGAGYAGCACCACAGACCCCTGAGCTTTCCTGACCCTGGCAGCTGCCGAGGGGCCTCTGGCAGAAGTGCAGTCCCAGAGAGTGCTGCAACTGAGATGATATTTCTGCATCTCCACCCCTTTTCAGCCCTCTTTGGGGTGTTTGAATATCAGAACCACTGCAAGTCCCAGCACTTTGGTGTGACCTGGCCACCTCAGAGGTGAGGATGTGAGCTGGGCTCAGCTTCTTGGGCAGGCCTTGACACCTGAGAAAAAACTCTGGAAAAGCCCTGGTCAGAAAACATGGCTCTTCATGGCAGCAGCAGGTTTTGGTCACGAATGTCCCCTCCTCCAGCTTTGTCTGTATTATATGCTACAGTCACCTCTTTAATGGATGTTTTCTTCCCCAGAAGTGGTTGGTTTTTAAATGTACAGAGTGTACACACTTGGCAAAGGGAGAACTCCATCTGCAGAACGTTCCCATCAGCTGCAGATTGCAGCACTCCGGGGTTTTTAATGCACAGCAGCAATTTAGGGATGTCTTACAGCAGTGGATAAGCTGAGTGCTCCAATAAGTGTCTTCAGCGTGCACTTTGTTCCAAGTGCACAAAGAGGGTGTGGCAGCTGTGAATTAAACCCCGAGGAGGCAATGTCTGTTCTCTGCTCCTGGCCAAGGGCACGTTTTTCCCTGCCCTATTGGTCCTGCGGGCTTAAAACCTCCACCTCCATGCAAGCAGGGTTGGGGTGGCTGCTGTCTTTCTGGGAGATTCAACTCCAATTTCTGCTCTGGGTTCCTATTTCTGCTCTGGGTTTCTCTCTTTCATGCTGGATTTTAGAGCAGTGAAACGAAGTCTTCATCGTCCCATGGCTGAGATCTTTTCCCTGCTGTTGTAAGTAGTGCTGTGAGCATATCAGGGCTTGCAGAACTTAAGGGGAAATTCAAATTTGCTTTGCAAAAACTTCTTGCTTTGTCTGTGGTGCTTGAGAGGACTCTAAGCCCGCTCCCGCCGGGTCATCTCCGGAAGCRGTGTGCACCGTGTTATCTGTCCTTTCCACGCTGCTTCCTTTCCTTCTTCCTCCTGAAGAACAAAGATATAAACACAGAGCTGAAGAGATGCAGGGGGAAAATGGAATAACCAGCTCGCTGCCCAGGGGAAACCACAAATAACAGCCTGGCAGTAAACAGTGCTGACAGCCCAGGCTGCAGCTCCGGGCCAGCCACCCTCCGGGAAACTCGCTGGGTTTTTGAAATCCTGCAGRCTGGACACACACTAACAGCAAAGGGGTTAAAGGCATGTGGGCTGAGGAGGTAGAAACCCCATCTGCAGCTGTGGGGGTGGTTTGAAATGTAATAAAGGCCATTAGCTGTCCCATTACARCCAGGGTCTGTGGGCAGCTGGCTGGGCATTAATGGAGTTCTGGAACTCGCTGCTGCAGGTCTCTGAGTCCTGGGCTGGGATCCTGCCCTTTGTTTTCACAAAGGAGGCCAGCAAAAGTCAGCGAAGGGCTGGATGWGAGCGGGCTCAGGGCTCTGGTCTGTGGGATCATCTCCTGAATTCCCTGCTCCCAGGCTGGCTGCCGAAACCCTGCGGCCACGGCGGGCTCCCCCCTCAGCGCTGCCTTTCTCTGCCTCTGACACGGCTCTTTATGACAATGGGATTTTGCAAAGCCCCTGTAAATCATTTGCATTCAGAACCAAAAACCAGGCAGGGGAGGCGGATGCAATTAAAGGGCAGCTCAGCTCAGCTCAGCTTTCTGTCTAGACAGCTTCTCCTAAAATAACCGGCCCTGGGAGCATCCACCTCCCTGCAGAAAGGGCTCCTCTCGGGCCGCATCCCGGGGCCTTTGCAGTCACAAAAGACTTGGCTCTCTGGGTCCTGCGTGAAACTGCAGGGCTGGGCTTTGGCTCAGCTGGTGCACAGAGCTGGGCACGGCTTCAGGGCTTGGGAAGGGGTGAGAGGAAAGCTCAGCTTCCCAGATCTGCGATGGGAGCCCTGCCTGGGCTGAGGAACGGGGGGAGATGCAGTTCAGCAACTGCACATCCTCCAACCATTTCTCTGGTATGATCTGAGCAAGGATTTACAATGATTTTGGTGGTGCTGGAGCTGCCTCATGCCCTGTTTCCCRCTGGTGGATCATGGCCAGAGCTGAAGGGGTGGGTGGGGTGAGGTAGGAGGGTTTCCCTGCCTGGCTGCCTGAGGCAGGGGAAATACACTGGACATTTTGTGTGTACATCACTGTGAAATCCACACTGGGATTTCCTGGAAGCAGCAGTGGCTGCTCCTCCCTAAGGAATGGCAGCAACTGGTGCAGAGAGCTGGGTGCACTGGGGCGAGGGAAGGGCAGCACTCGTTAGTGCTGGGGGCAGTTTTGGATGGGAAGCGTGGCCAGGAGGGGAAGGAGCGGGCTGGCTCTGAGGGCAGAGGCTGCTCGGGGTGGTTCCAGAACTCTGGCAGCAGGGGCTGTGTGTGCTCCATCGCCCCAACATCCAGAGGCAAAGATAGGTAGAAATCCTGCTGCAGAGTCAGAGCGAAGCCATGACTGAGGGCACAGGGTGTTCCCTGCAGGCAGGAATTTGCTGGGAGTGCTCCTGGATCATCACTGCCATCCCAGCTGGAGGCTGGGCCTCATTCTCCCTTCAAATCCCGCTCTGCCCTCCCCGAGTGCAGGAGGAATCGCAGGGATTTGAGGGGAACTGTGTCACTTCTCTGGGGCAGATGTGCCCTGGACAGTCCCAATGGCCTCRTTTGCTGCTCCAAGGTTGGAGGTGGCTGAGCTGAAGGGCAGCTTTATTTGGAAGTTTTTCTCAGTTTCAGCCATTTGCTGCAGGAAGTTGATTCTTGCAGGCAGGGGACTGAAACTGGTGGGAGTAAAACTGTGGCAGGAACGTGGGACTGAGTCTGAGGTTTCATTGCTGCCTAATCCCATCTGAGGACCCRGCCCTATCCATGATCATTCTGCCTCTCACTGGGTGGTCTGTGCCTCAGTTTACCTGTACTGAGTCCTGTCTGCCTTTCATGGTGAATTAATCGGTGTTGCTTCCTCAAAAAYCTCTYAAGGAAGCTGCAAATCCACATTTTRCTTTCAAACTTTATAAGGAAAGGGGAAGGCAGACGTATTTGTGAGCACTGCCTCTTGCTGTCAAGCTGTGGCAGCTCATGGCATGGAGCTGCATTTTGCTTGTTTATTTATATTTTTTTTTACGTGGGGAGTTACACACCCACTAAGCCTGGAAATAGCTGAACAGTGACTCACACAGGGACTGGTTTAACTGCTCTGCTCTGGGATGCAGCTGCGCTTGGCAGCTGGGGAAGGCTCTTCCAAAAGGTTCAGCTCCACGGGGGCAGAGGGTGTTTTTGTTCCCTGTGTATTTCTTTGCCCACGAAGCTCGGCCAGCGCGGTGTGCCGGGGTTCATTGCACATGGCTGCGGTGTTTGCAGCACAGCTGAACGGCCAGGGCTGCCCCGGGGCTGGGGGAGAGGCTCGCTCTGGCTTTTGCAGGCTGGGGTTGATGTCTCTGCCCTGTTCCATGGTAAACGCTCCCGAGGMAGGGCCAGCCTGTTTGTGTTTGATCCCAGCAGCTGCTCCTGCACAGGGCACCCACACAGCCCCTGGGTTCCCGGAGCACCGTGCCCGTGCTGGGGACAGCAGCAGCACTGAATGTGTTCCCCAGCTGCTCCCAAAGCCTGTGGGGKCCAGGGTGGGGTGGTGGCCCAGGGCTGGTGCCATGGCCRTGGGCACAGCAGGGGCTCCGTGGTGCCCACACTGAGGTGTCTGTCTGTCTKTCTGTCCCCAGAATGGCTGCAGTCTGTCCAAGCCATGATGATCCTCTCYGTCATCTTCAGCGTCCTGTCCCTGTTCCTGTTCTTCTGCCAGCTCTTCACGCTCACCAAGGGCGGCAGGTTCTACATCACCGGAGTGTTCCAGATCCTCGCCGGTGAGTGGGGGCTGAGGGCTGCCAGCCAGGGCAGGGGTGCCAATGAGCAGCTCCTGGGGCAGCTCACAAGGGCTGTGGAGCTGCCAGCCTGGCTCCCTGAAGGGAGGGSAGGATGGATAATTTGGGGGTGGTGAGGCCTCACCCACCCAGGATGGGATCTGACTGTCTCCATTGKGCATCCAGGCTCCTCTCCCTTGCACAGGGAAGGTGCAGGAGTGCTCCTGCCCCAGGCTGGGGGGCTCTGGAGGGGCAGGGGCAGAGCTGGGGACAGAGCTGGGGACAGAGCTGGGGGCAGGCASGTCACAGGGGCTGCTGGAACCAGAGCTGTGCCTGTTSCCCTGGCTCRGGGTGGGATGTTGGGTGCCCAGGGTGGCTGTGCTGGCTCCGGGGCCCACCTGCACCAGGCTGGGTGAGGCTTCCACAGCTGCTGGTGGGGTGGGGGAACTCCTGATGATCCTGTTTTGGCAAAAGAGGACTCAGTGATTATTTATAAACTTGCAATGAGGGGGCCTGGTGCTTTCCCCACCAGCACAGAGCCCTGGAGCTGCAGGGTGAGCTCTGGCTTGGACTGTCAGCTGCTATTTTTAACTCTTAAAGAACTCAGTGCTGGAAAGCAGCCACAGTTCATGTCCTTCATTGCAGTTCCCCAGATATTGGTGCTGTAAAGCCACTGTTTATGTTTACAYGTATGAAACCAGTGGAGAGGATTTTCACGTGTTTAGGCAAAAAAATGGAATTGTTCTTCTAGGTCCTGRCTGCGTTAGGACAGAGTGTCCAGGAAGGAGATTGATTCTTTCCTAGAGCTTTAGATCTTAAACTAGAAGCCACCCGAGGTGGGTGTCCTGCYACTTTATCAGTGGAACAAAGTTTCTGGGCATCCTGTAAGCAGCTGGTCTTCCCAAGCCCTGGAGAAGTCCAGACCTAAACTTTATTGGCATTAATCCATGATAAGTGGCTCTGCTTGGCTGCAGTGCAGGTGGGGAGTTCAGATCAATTCTCCATCTCTGGAAAAGGAATTGTATGGGAACCCCTGAGGGCTGTGGAGCCAAGGAGGGGAAATGGGCATTAATAATGCAATGACCTGCTGAGAGCTTCTCTGATAGAGCTGGGAGCAGAAGGCTTCTCTGTGCTGAGTGATTGCTGCTCAATCCTGGCTGGCAGAGGAGGAGAAAAGGGGATTGTAGCCCTGTTCGGGCCATGCTGGGCATCCTGAGGGGATCAGGGTCMGGCCACAGACACACAGTCCTTGTTGAGCTTGAGCTGTGGGTTAAAGCCATGCCCAGTCGGTGTGAAGGACAGAAAAAGTGTGTCCTCATCCCATCAAGCTTCTCTATGGCCAGGGTGACCTGTAGGCAGAGGTCTGGAACCACGTGGACCATGCAGAGGTGGGCACTACTGACCATCCTTGCTGTTGTCCCTGGCCAGCAGTGGAAGAGGGGGCTCAGGACATTTTTGATCTTTGTGACCCTAAATTTCAGGGTTTTTGGTAGGAAAGAGGACATGGCTGTGCCAGCGCTGCCAGGAGATCCCAGCTGGAGGTAGGGCCAGCCCTGGTGACAGGAGCTGAGCCTGGTCTGGTGTCCTTGCAGCTTTTGGTAGGAAGCCACTGGTGTCTGAGGCCAAGGAAGGAAACTCCTGTGGCCTTCAGACTGAGCAGGATTCATCCCTGCCTCACCAGGCCCGGCTGCAGGGCTGCCAGGGACAGGGCTGACCCAGCTGAGCAGAGCCAGGCAGGACCTCCCTCCTCCTGGGAAAGACGAGAAGGCTCTGCCCGAGCCACCCCTGCACCTCCTGCAGCATGGAAAAGCTGAGGGTTCTGCAGAGCCTGAGCAAGAGCAGGGCTGGGTCTGAACCRGYGGGTGCCAGGGCAGGAGCGCTGGGCTCTGTTGGGGTCACAGCAGGACAGGGGTGCCCTGGGAGCCAGTGAGGGGAGCAGGGGCCGGTCCCCACTGCAGCTTCAGTTCTGGGACACTGGGGAGTGTAAGGAAGGGCAAGAAGGGAAGCGTGAGGCTGCTTGGGTCTGTGGTGCAGTGACCAGGCAGGATCATCCACACACCTTTTCACACAGCTTGGAATCACCCCCAAAGCCTGGCTGGATTTGTCCTGAGGGGATCAAGGGCATCAAAAGGCCTTCAAAGGCTTCCTGCCATCCTTGGTGGGTCCATCACACCGTGGGGAATTCCTCATAGCTCAGCATGGCAGAGATGTTGGTTTGGGTTTCTCAGGGTTTGACCCAACTTTTCCATCCTTCTYTTCCTCTCATCATCACTTCTATCCCTTCTTTCCCATCCCAGCCACCCCAGAGCTGCTGCCCCATGGGCTCAGCCTTGAGGGCCATGCCTGCCACACATCGCACAGCTGTCTGCAAACACCTGGCTTGGAGMGCTGCCCTGGAGCTTGCAGAGCAACAGCCTGGTTGCTCTGCAGGGCTGGRGCAGCTCCAGCTGGAACAATCCCTGGGAGCAGATGTCAGGAAGTGTTTGCCCTCCTGACCTGCCAGAGCCAGAGCGGAGCGTGCTCTCCCAGCCGGGCTGCACAGGGGTGATGCATGGCTGCCTGCAGCAGTGCAGCTGSCTGCAGCTGGCCCTCCCTTCCTGTCCCTGCCTTCTCCGGGCCCAGAGCAGGGCAGGTGCCCCACAAGTGCAGTTGTGGCCATCGCCTCCCGGCCGCATTCCCCTGCGGACAATCGCCGCTGTATCTGCCGTCTGTAGGTGACTGGGTGGCCACACGCCYGTGCCCCGTCCCCCAGACAATGGCTCTGCTCTCTGTGCATGGGCTGGCCAGTGGGAGTTGGCTCCTGTGCTCGGAGAATGGAAACTGCTCCAGCGGCGCCTTAATGAAGCCAATTCCCACTTGTGCACTTTCCCCAAACAAAAGGAGCAGTGTCAAGTGGAATTACAGCTCAAATATCACGGTGCTGAAATGTAGGTGGTCCCGAGGTCTGGGCAGGGGATTTGGAACTCTGCTCCAACAACAGCCCCATGACTGTATAATAGAACTGCTGGGATTGACTAAAAGAGCTTGTTTGGGGCAGGAATAGAGGTGGCTTTGTGTGAGCTTGAGCGGTGCCCACCCYGATGGTGGGGTTTGCAACAAAGCTTAAACACTGCCCACCGGGGCTGGGCMTGGCCAGACACCCCCGGGGCCCTGGCTGATTGTGGGGTGCCAGGAGCCAGGGAAGAGGATGAGCCATGGCACAGCAGGGTTTGCAGGGAGTGGGGTTTTTAAGGAACAGGGTTTGCTGGGAATGGGGTTTACAGCTGAGCTCCTGTTGCTGCTGTGAAGGATGGGAGATCACAAGGCACAGACCCTGCCCAGCCAGAGCATCCTGAGGCCCAGCTATGTTTGCGGCTTTTATTACCTGGACGACTTCTTGCTTTGAAAGCTCAGGTCTGTGTGTGACCTCTTGCAGCAGCCCAGGGAGGTGGTTCAGGCCAGGGTTTTCAACAGGGCACCAGGGGAGTGGGATTGGTCTGAGCAATCCTGATCCCTCAGGATCTGGGGCTGCTTGAGGGAGGGATTAGCCCAGGTGATGCTCCAGAGCCTCTGGCTTTGCTTGGGGAGCAGGGCAGGGACATCCCTGCTCACCTCCAGCCAGCCCAGAGCCCACAGCAGGAGATTCCCAGAGCAGGAGATTCCCAGTTTTCTGGGAGGCAGGATCCATGGGGGCAATAACAAAAGCTGTTTCCGTGCTGGTGCAGGGTGCTATCCGGTGTGACCCTGAGTTCCCGCAGGGAATCCATGCGTGGCCCCGCTGACTGACACACTCCCTGTGCTCTCCCTCAGGGCTGTGTGTGATGAGTGGTGCTGCCATCTACACAGTGAGGCACACGGACTGGCACCCAGCCTCGGAAAACACCTCCTACGGCTTCGCCTACATCCTGGCGTGGCTGGCCTTCCCCCTGGCCCTGGCCAGTGGCATCATCTACGTCATCCTACGGAAGCGCGAGTGACGCCGCGGGACCTGGCCTGGCGTGACAGGGGCACTCATGACGTCCTCAGAGGAGACGGAGGCGGGGGAGAATAGACGAGAAAACGGAAAAAAAAAAAAAAAAAAAAAAAAAAAAAAAAAAAAAAAAAAAAAAAAAAAAAAAAAAAAAGGAATAAACCCTCCCATCCAAACCAAACCCAACTGACCCCCAAAGGAAACACTCAAAGGGTTCCTTGTTAATTGAAGATGTATATAGTATCTATGGTTTAAAAAACCTATTTATAACACTTTTTACATATATGTACATAGTCTTGTTTGCTTTTGTTGACCATGCGCTGTTTTAAAGCCTAAAGCAAGTGCCTAAGGAACTCTCACTCCTAACAGTGTAACAAGAGCGCAGTGATTTTTCTCTCAYGCAAAATCCTCTTTGAGCTGAACTCTCCTTGCCCATCCCACCCGCGCTGACCGTCAGAACCCCCGGCTCTGGCTGGTTTTAGGCTGGCATGGGTCAGAGTCCGGGGGCTGGGCCCTGCTCCTGCTATATGCTGTGATCCAAAGGGCACAGATSTGCCGGGAAACGCTTCTGAAAGGTTTGAAGGATTTTGGAGCAAAGGCTTTGATTGCCGCAAGTGCCTAAATGACTTACGTGCCTAAGTCCCACTGCCTTGCCACCACACCCGCTGGGAATTTGGGCTGTTAAATCACTTAGGTCAAGCTGTGCTCCAGCCCGGGCCATCCTCCTCYGCTCGGGGTGCCGGGGTTGGGGTGTGCCGAGCGCTGGGAACTGCTGCTCCCAGCCCAGAACGGGCTCTGTCCTTGCTGTGGAGCTAAACTGCCCTGAGAAAGAAGCCAGCCCAGTGTGTCCCTGAAATCCAATACCAGATGTATGAAATGGTGCTATCTATTTACCATTCCTTACCCCGCTAAACCATTTAACCTTAGTCACTGGAAATTCAGTTAACGATCTTGAGGTAAACAACCAAGCTAGAAATGAGAAATAATTTTGTGTAATATAAATGAGCTATAACTGCTTTTGTACTTAGATTTGCTCTTACTATTATTTTTAATAAAGCATTTATAACCAAGATTCCTTTTTCCCCTCCGTGGTACAGAGGAACAGAAGCAGCTCTGCCCGGAGCCTGTGGGGCTCTGGCACCAGAGCGAGATGTGATTCCTCTGTCAGCAACGAGTCTGGCCATGAATGGAACAGGCACCAGCACAGATCCCAGGCTGCCTCTGAGGACTCCGGACACTGTTGCTGTTTTTGTTTAATTTTGGGATTTTTTTGGGTTCTACTTTTTTTTTTTTTTTTCCGCTTTGCTTTTCTGATTTTATACCGACTGTGTGGACTAAGAAGCAATGAAATAAAAGCCAGAGTAACTCAGGTGCTTCTGCTTTTTTTTTCATTTTTGGGGGTTATAGGTGGACTCTGCTCCCCCAGCCTGCTTGCACAGCCATCCCATGGAATCATGGAATTGCGGAGTGGGTTGGGCTGGAAGGAGCCTTAAAGCCCATCCAGTCCCACCCCTGCCATGGGCAGGGACACCTCCCATTGTCCCAAGTTACTCCAAAACCCATCCAACATGGCCTTGGGCACTGCCAGGGATCCAGGGGCAGCCACAGCTGCTCTGGGCACCCTGTGCCAGGGCCTGCCCACCCTCCCAGGGAACAATTTCTTCCCAATATCCAGTTTAAAGCTATGCTCTCAGTTCGAAGCCATTCCCCTTCATTCTATCACTGCATTTCCAAAGTTTTTCTCCAGCTTTCTTGAAGCCCCTGCAGGTACAGCAATACCACAGTAAGGTCACCACCGGCATCCCAAAGGTGGCAGCTGGCAGGACCACAGCTATCCCTTCCAGTCTCCTGGGATGGTTCTGCTCAGCATCAGCTGCCCCAGGGATCTGTCTGGCTCTGCTGCTCGRCACAAAGAGCAGAAGCCTCTCAGTCCCAAAGGCCCGGGGCTGTGGCAGCAGCAGTGGCCAGGGACCAGCACATTGTGCAGAGYGAGCAGCCCTGAGGGCTGGCACAGTCGCTGGCGCTTCCCCTCCCTCAGTGTGCAGTGACTGAGCACCCGGGCTGATGAGTTAATGCAGCAACTGGTGCTGGCAGAGACACAATGGCTGCTGCACGGCCATCCCTGGAGGGCAGCTATGGACATCAGACCCATCCCAGAGCCCTCAGCCCTGCCACAGCCCCAGGGAAAGGAGCAGCAGTTGTGTGCCATCCCCTCATCCACTCAGGGCAGGGCCTGGGTGCAGTGGGACCACCCTGGCACTTTGCTTGGCTGGGCCTCCTGGTCAGGGTCTTACTGCTGGGAATGTTTCAGAGTCACAAATTGTTTGCTCTGGAAGGGACCTTAAAGGTCATCCCATCCCACCCCTGCCAGGCAGGGACACCTTTCAGTATCTCAGGCTGCTCCCAGCCCCAATGTCCAGCCTGGCCTTGGGCACTGCCAGGGATCCAGGGGCAGCCACAGCTGCTCTGGGCACCCTGTGCCAGGGTCTCCCCATCCTCACAGTATATTTATTTTCCTGTGTGCTCATTTGCTGAGCTCAAAGCCGAGGAGGGGATGGCAGATCCAGAGCCCCTGTGAGCTGCAGCCTTGGGATGAGGTCATCCTGGTCCCCAGCCAAGGGATAAATATTTCCCTTCTGAGGAGCAGGTTGGACCATAGGTGAGTTTTTCCCTCCTGTGGAGAAATTAAAGATTGTCTTCCTCACTTGGGATCAATATCTCAGAAGGCAGAAAAACACTGAGTGCATCAGTTTTGCCTCTGCTCTTGAACCATTCACAGTGTAAACAAGCAAGTGGCATCGCTTCAGGCCAACATCTTAGGCTTGCAGAGCTGCTTTGTGTTACGGATGCAGTTTTGCAAGTGCATGTAGCAAAATTATTTTTCAAAGGAGAAACAAGGTGAGGGGTTGGATCTTTTAGTAAAGGGTTTGAAGGGGAGCAGCCACTGATTCGCAGCAGAGTTGACATCCTCTCCCCCAAACTGCCAAACTGGCATGGAGCTAGGTCAGGGGAGGTTTAGGCTGGATTTCAGGGAAAGGTTCTTCTGTGCCCAGAGGGTGCTGGCACTGCCCAGGCTCCCCAGGGAATGGTCCCGGCCCCGAGGCTGCCAGAGCTCCAGGAGCGTTTGGGCAGCGCTGCCAGGGATGGACAGGGGGGGATTGTTGGGGGGTCTGGGCAGGGATTGGAGATGRACTGGGTGATCCCTGTGGGTCCCTTCCAGCTCAGGATGTTCTGTAATTCTGTGGAACTCTCGTTTTGGCTGAACCAGGTGGGTTGGATGATASCAAATCCTTTTTCCTTAGCACTCCACCGTGGCTGCAAACACGTCCCACAGCTCGGTGGGGATGGGAGCTACTGGCTGCCACCCTCCACCAGGATTGCTTTGKCTCCAGGGCCTCTTTTGCCCTGTTTCCGCCGTGTTTCCCAAGCCCGTTCCCCTCGGTGCCGCTCGAGCCGCGGGGGGGAGATGGGCTCAGTCCGGCCCGAGCGCGGAGCGCGGGCGCCCTCCCATGGTTGCGGGAGGAACTGCGGGAGCGGGACCCCGAGAGAACGTCCCGAGCCCTGCGAGGGGCTGGGGACACGGGGGACACGGGGACACGGGGGACACGGGG